GGGTTTCACCGTGTTCAGCGCCAGAGAATGGGTCCTCTGTCATCTCCTGACCAGGTCCGTGATCACCGCATCACCCGCCTCCCAAAGGTGGCTGAGAGAATTACAAGGCTTGAAGCCAACCCGGCACGCGCCCCGGCCCTACCGATTACACTTAATAAAACCAACATTAATTATCATAAATAATTTACCATTGTTTCTTTCAACAACGAGTATAAATTATTATTCCTACCTAATTTCCTATTCTGGAACGGATCTATGCTCTTTCGCCCGGAATGGGAGTTCAGACCAGATGGCATCCACCTCAGCCTCCCACTGCACCTCATGCCCCACCCCGGGGTTCAAAGGCGATTACCTTGCCTCAGGCCTACCAAGTAGCCTGGGAAAAATTACAGAGACGGTGCCAACCTAAACGCCAAACAGTTAGACATTCGTACTTTTTTCAGTAGAGACCGGTTTCAGCATCTTGACCCAGCTGGTCTTGGAACTCCTGACCATCGTGATCCACCTGCGCTGGCCTTGAACTTTGTAATCCCACAAAGGTGCTGGGAATTACAGGGCGTTTAATGTCACCCCACCCCGAGCTCCATATCTATAGTTCTTAGTAACAATGAACACCGCTTTTGGGAATGCTTTAATAAGAAACTTTCAAGCTGGGCCCAGTTAGCTTCAACGCCTGTAAATCCCAGCACTGTTGGGAAGGACTGAGAGTGAGGGCAGTATCGACCTCGAGGTTTGGAGTTTCAAGATAACCAAGACCACCTGACCATATGGAGAAACCCATTTCTCTATTAAAAGAATACAAAATTAGAGGGGGACGGAGGCCGGAGCCCAGCGGGTGGCTCAGCCCTGTAATCCCCAATCAAGCACTTTGGGAGGCTGAGACGGGCGGATTCACGAGGTCCAGGAGATTCGAGAACCATCCCCTGGCCTAACACGGTGAAACCCCCCCTCTCTAACTCAAAAAAATACAAAAAACTAGCCGGGCTGAACGGTGGCCGGGCGCTGTAAAGTCCCAGCTACTCGGGAGGCTTAAGGCAGGAGAATGCTGTAAACCCGGGGGGCGGAGCTTGCAGTGAGCTACAATCCCCCGGCACTGCACTCCAGCCGGGGCCCGACAGGAGCAGACTTCGTCTCAAAAAAAAAAAAAAAAAAAAAAAAAAAGAATACAGAAATTAGCCGGGCGGTGGTGTGCGCATGCCTGGTTTAAATCACAGCACTTTGGGAAAAAAGGCTGAAAGGTGGGCAGACATCACCTGAAGGTTTGGAGTTCAAGACAGCCTGGCCCAACTGAAGAAAAACCCATCTCTATTAAAGATTAATCAGAATTACCGGGCCCGTTGGGTGGGCGCAATGCTTGTAATCCCAGCTACTCGCGAGGCTGAGGCAGGAGAATCACCTGAACCCGGGAGGTGGAGGTTGCAGTGAGCTGAGATCGCGCCATTGCACTCTAGCCTGGGCAATAAGAGAAACTCAGTCTCACACAAAACAAACAAACAAAAAACCAAAATAAAAGAGATTCAACTGGAAAATAGCCTAAAAACAGGCAGATAAATGAGTAAGGAGAGTTAATGAAGCCTAAATGAGGACATTAAGGAGATATTATAGAGAAACATTAGTATACAGACTCATAAACATTCAACCAGAAAATGATTGGGCAGGATTTCTTTCAGATCTGCACAAAATGACACATCATAAAATTTAAGATTCTTTTAATGGGAACACATAATTGTTCTTTTTATTATTTCTACTCCAGATTGTTCAGTAAGAATTCTACTGGTTGTAGCAAAAGGGAATCATTACATTTCTGCAGAGAAGTTTAAAGCATTTAGGTTTCTTGCTTTTATTACTTTAAAATATTTAAACAAAGGATACCAGTGAATATGATGCAGTCATTGAGATTGAATTTTTGGTCTGAGATAAATTACCCTACACTTAATACAATTTACTCATGCTAAGTGTGCATCTGCAAATTGAGGAAACACAAGTTCTAACTTACTTAGATACTTATTCAGGGCAAAACAATGCAAAAATAATAAAAAACCTAAACCATCACCCAAAGGGGAAGGGAACCAAATGACTGCTTTGTGTAAATTTTTTTTTTTTTTTTGAGACGGAGTCTCGCTCTGTCGCCCAGGCTGGAGTGCAGTGGCACGATCTCGGCTCACTGCAAGCTCTGCCTCCTGGGTTCACGCCATTCTCCTGCCTCAGCCTCCCGAGTAGCTGGGACTACAGGCGCCCGCCACCACGCCCGGCTAATTGTTTTGTATTTTTAGTAGAGACATGGTTTCACTGTGTTAGCCTGGATGGTCTCAATCTCCTGACCTCGTGATCCGCCTGCCTCGGCCTCCCAAAGTGCTGGGATTACAGGCGTGAGCCATCACGCCTGGCCTGTGTACATTCTTTGAAATGTACAAAACTGTTACCTTTTGCTCATCTAGTCTTATTGCTATAGCAGTGGTTTTCAGGAGACACTGGGTAATGTCTAGAGACATTTTTGGTGGTCACATGGTATGAGTGTGTACGTACTGGCTTCTAGCAGGTAGAGGCCAAAGGTGATGCTAAACATCCTACAGTGTAAAGGACAGTCCCCTACAACAAAGAATTATCTGGCCCAAAATGTCAACAGTGCTGCCTTAAAATCCTGCTTTGTAGGTAACTTTCCTAACTGAAAGTTGCATGGAGTAACTAGTTTAAATGATGCATGTTTTCAAAACAGTTGCTCTCAATAAAGGGGCAGAAGCAGTTCATATTTACACACAAAAATAGACAAATATGTTTATGTTCCAATTACCTTTACGCAATTCCCAGGCATCTATATCTGGCTTGTTGAAGTATGTTACCCAGCGAGCATCAAACTCCTCATCTGTCTCATGTGACCCATGAGAATAGCAGCGAACTGACTGGATAGCTACAATGTGAAAGAACCATAACTTCAATGTACACAAACAGTACTTGATATATCTTGTTTAATGCATTAAATTTTGAGTCGACTATATATGTTGTGGCAGATAAAATATTCAACAGGTCAAAGGAAGTACATCTTATACACTGATATAGAAAGATATCTTTAAAATTAAGCAAATAAAACCAAGTAGAACAAAAAGTATTACATAGGCATGTTTATACTTTTCTCCCTAATGTATAATACTAGCTTGAAATTATTAACAGTGGTTCCCTCTGATTTTAAATTAACAGTGATTATCTGTGAGAGGTAAAAACTACTTTATATACTTCCATATTGTTTGAATTTTTACACGTAACCAGAGAATTAATTCTTAAGTAAAAATGTCCCAGGTGGCCGGGCGCGGTGGCTCAAGCCTGTAATCCCAGCACTTTGGGAGGCCGAGACGGGTGGATCACGAGGTCAGGAGATCGAGACCATCCTGGCTAACATGATGAAACCCCGTCTCTACTAAAAAATACAAAAAACTAGCCGGGCGAGTTGGCGGGCGCCTGTAGTCCCAGCTACTCAGGAGGCTGAGGCAGGAGAATGGCGTGAACCCGGGAGGCGGAGCTTGCAGTGAGCTGAGATCACGCCACTGCACTCCAGCCTGGGCGACAGAGCGAGACTTCGTCTCAAAAAAAAAAAAAGGTCCCAGGTGGGCATAGTGGGGCACACATCTGTAGTCCCAGCTACTCAGAGGCTGAGGCAGGAAGATTGCCCAAGCCCAGGAGTTCAATGTTGTAGGGTGCTAACAATATGACAGCACCTGAGAAAATAGCTATTGCATTCCAGCCTGGGCAACACAGCGACACTCCACCTCTAAAAAGTAAGAATAGGGCCGGGCGCAGTGGCTCACGCCTGTAATCCCAGCACTTTGGGAGGCTGAGGTGGGCGGACCATGAGGTCAGGAGTTCGAGACCATCCTGGCTAACATGGTGAAATCCCGTCTCTATTAAAAATACAAAAAATCAGCCGGACGTGGTGGCGGGCGCCTGTAGTCCCAGCTACTGGGGACGCTGAGGCAGGAGAATGGCGTGAACCTGGGAGGCGGAGGTTGCAGTGAGCCGAGATCGCATCACTGCACTCCGGCCTGGGCGACAGAGCGAGACTCTGTCTCAAAAAAAACAAAAACAAAAACAAAAACAAAAAACTAAGAATAGTCTGGGCGCAGTGGCTTACACCTGTAATCCCAGCACTTTGGGAGGCCGAGGCGGGCAGATCACGAGGTCATGAGATCAAGACTATCCTGGCCAACATGGTGAAACCCCATCTCTTTTAAAAGTGCAAACATTAGTTGGGTGTGGTGGCACATGCCTGCAGTTCCAGCAACTTGGTAGGCTAAAGCAGGGGCATTGCTTGAACTCGGGAGGCATAGGTTCAGTGAGCCGAGATCACGTTACTGCTCTCCAGCCTGGTAACAGAGCGAGACTCTGCCTCAAAAAAAAAAAAAGAAAGAAACAAAACAAAACAAAACAAAAACACAAAAAGCAACAACAACAACAAAAAACTAAGAATAATGCTAATGTCTGTTCAAGTTCTTTTTTTTGAGACAGGCTCTCGCTCTGTTGTTGCCCAGGCTGGAGTGCAGTGGTGCAATCACAGCTCACTGCAGCCTCAAACGCTTTGGGCTCAAGCATTCCTTCCACCCTTGCCTCCCAAAGTGCTGAGATTACAGGTGTGAGCCACCAGCCCTGGCCCCATTCAAGTTCTTAAACAAACGTATATACTTCATTGACACATTACAAAAAAAAAATTTCATGTTATTATATTCCAAAATAAATTACACATCCTGACAAATTACACATACAAATTGCTTTATCAAACTACAGTCCCTTCCCTAAAGATTCTGATAAATCCCCTAAGGGAACATACACTCTAATCTATACCTAATACAAAATAGCTGTTTTATAAGGAATGCTATTTTGGGCTGGGCGCAGCAGCTCACACCTGTAATCCCAGCACTTTGGGAGGCTGAGACGGGTGGATCACCTTAGGTCAGGAGTTTGTGGCCAGCCTGATCAACATGGTGAAGCCCCGTCTCTACTAAAAATACAAAAATTAGCTGGGCATGATGACGGGCGCCTGTGATCTCAGCTATGCGGGAGACTGAGGCAGGAGAATCGCTCGAACCCGGGAGGCGGAGGTTGAGGTAAGCTGAGATCACGCCATTGTACTTCAGCCTGGGCGACACAGCAAGACTCCGTCTCAAAGAAAAAGAGAAATGATATTTTAAATGTAACACTGTCAAGAAAACAGGATACACAACTATTTTCATGTGTTTTTTTGCCTGCAGCATTCTGAAGGCTAGTAGAGACTCCCAATCAATACATCCTTTACAGTATGGTATGAAAATCATTTCCTTTTTTTTTTTTTTGGAGATCGAGAGTCTCATTCTGTAACCCAGGCTGAAATGCAGTGGAACAATCTCAGTTCACTGCAACCTCTGCCTCCTAGATTCAGGTTATTCTCCTGCCTCAGCCTTCTGAGTAGCTAAGACTACAGGTGTGTGCCACCACGCCTGGCTAATTTTTGTATTTTGAGTAGAGACGGGATTTGACCATGTTGCCCAAGCTGGTCTCGAACTCCTGACCTCCAGTGATCAGCCCACCTCAGCCTCCCAAAATGCTGGGATTACAGACGTGAGCCACTGCACCCGGCTCCATTTTTTCTTTCCTCTTGTCAAATGGACACTGAATTGAGTTTGGAAATCTGAATTCCTTCTGAACAGCCTCTGCAACAGGTAGCGGGTAAGAGGAGGCAGAAAATTTTATCTTGGAGTATTGGATGCAGCACAGCCTAGAGCTCAGATACCTCTAGGCTCTTCGCTCTCACTGTTTGACCCTGGAAAATTAACTGAAGTTTCATTTTCCTTATCTGTAAAATGGGGACACTACCCACCTTAGCAGATTATAAAGATTAAATGTGAAAACAAGTAGGTTAACACTATGCACCAGTAAGTATTAAACAAATGGTAGCTATAAACTAATCCTTATCTAAAAATGTCTTTGTTGGCCGGGCGCGGTGGCTCAAGCCTGTAATCCCAGCACTTTGGGAGGCCGAGGCGGGTGGATCACGAGGTCAGGAGATCGAGACCATCCTGGCTCGTTGCTAACATCTGGCGTGAAACCCCGTCTCTACTAAAATACAAAAAACTAGCCCGGCGACGTGCGGGCGCCTGTAGTCCCAGCTTTACTCGGAGGCTGAGGCAGGGAATGGCGTGAACCTGGGAGCGGAGCTTGCATGACGCTGAGACGCGCCACCTGGCACTCCAGCCTGGGTGAGGACACAGCGCCGAGAACTCCGTCTCAAAAAAAAAAAAAACCGAAGAGAAAACAAACAAAAAAAAAAAAAAAAAAAAGTCTTTGTGAATGTTATCTTATAGAAATCATA